TTGTCTGATAATGTATTTTCTTTTCGATTGTTCTAAGCGCTAGTCATCTTAGAAACGACAATAATCAGTCTTGATTTTGCGCCAATGCATTTCCCACAGGTCGATAAGAAAAATAGGTTTACATAAGTATGAATATGTATGCATAAATGAAAATCAGGTTCACTTGACTTCATACATCACTTTACTTCACACACCACTTGACTTCACACACCACTTGACTTCACACACCACTTGACATCACACACCACTTGACTTCACACATCTCTTCACTCACACTCATCCAGGAAAGAAACACAATTAATTGATACGAATATGGCTGTCGAATAATTTTTTTCAAAACTACATATGACAGAATACGGCTTCTTATGTTGCTCTGTTAAGTCGTTCAGTTGGTGATGCTGCTGAAGCATGTTACTTGCCGACGAAGAGGTTTTCCAAGCAGCAGTAGCGGTCAGCGCCTCCACAGTAGTCATTGCTGCTCTTCAGCAAACAGAGAGTGTTGTTGAACATGCTGTAGCACACCCCGCCCTTCGTGTGACAGTCATGGTAAGGATCTGAGCAGTCTGCAACAGAGGGGTGATACAAACACTTTCAACAATATATTTAAACATATTTGCATTAGACCTTAAGCGAATGAGTATGGTTTTATGGCGCTTTTATCTCAGATTTGGACCTAAGTAATTACCTCACAGCTTTTACCACTAGGCTGCCCCGCCGCTCCCAATTTGTTATGAGTGGGGTCTTGTTAAATGGGTTTTAATATTGCTGTGCATTTCGAATATTTCACATTGATTCGTTTATGTTGGAGCGAAAACCTGGAAGTGATGCAGGACGAATGTTTTCATATAACATGGGCGTTATACCAAGGATCATAATTACTGTGAATATGGGATTCGAACCCACGACTAGTGCATCTTTGGAAGGGAAAGGCTCTGCACAAGATCTAGATTCGAACACACGACCAACTGATGATAAGAAACTCAACTCGCAGTGCTTTTGGTCACTTCTGATTCATGTACAGTGTTTTCATATTTCCAGTTTGGCTATAAACAATATTGCAATTGTCAACACAAGCTATGCGTACAAACCGAGAGTGAGTTAGTGAGTCACTTGGATTTTACGCCGCTTGTAGCAATATTCCAGCAATATCGCGGCGGGGGACACTAGAAATGGGCTTCAAACATTGTGGCCATGTGGGAAATCGAACACGGGCCTTCGGTGTGACGAGTGAACGCTTTAACCACTAGGCTACCCCACCGCCCCTCGTACACATGCAGAAAAGACGACAAGTCTTGCGTTGTTTTCGAAAGATGGAGAAGGTCCACAGTTATATTGGCTTCTAAACTGCGGGACAAAATATGCTTACACCTCAACACTAGGTGTGACCTAGACATTACAAACATTAAAAAACTATGCTGAGAACAGTCGCCAAAATACAGCAAAAGTAAGGTAAAAAACACAACAAAAAATCCGTCGGGAAATAGAGCGCCATCTTGTTTCTTTCAGTTTTAGCCACAATGAAATGTTTGTATTCTTTCGTTTATCCGACAGTTCGTCATATCAGGACAGGTGGTATCCTATTTCTCCCAAATTTGAACCGGTATGTATAATAACGAAGATTAATATGAAAGCGTGTCCACTGGTAGAGATGATGCTGTCTGCAGCAGACCTTCGTGAGAGCGGCGTTGAAACATTAGGCAGCAGTCGCTGGGTGCGTATTTCTAAGTTGTTCAAGGCCACAACATTCAAGGACTCAGTAAAGCATTCAAAAACTTATATCGAAGACATATGAGGAACTGAAGCATCAGTGACAAAAGTGATGTTCGCTGCAATTCCCAATATGCTCACCTCATCGCCAACATCTGGTGTCATCACTTTATCTTGCTAGTGAGTGAGTGAGTTGAGGGGGCGGTGGGGTAGCCTAGTGGTTAAAGCGTTCGCTCGTCACGCCGAAGACCCGGGTTCGAATCCCCACATGGGTACAATGTGTGAAGCCCATTTCTGGTGTCCCCCGCCGTGATGTTGCTGGAATATTGCTAAAAGCGGCGTAAAACCAAACTCTTTCAGTCAGTCAGTCAGTGAGTTGAGTTTTACGTCGCACTCGGCAATATTCCACCTATATGGCGGCGGTCTGTAAATAATCGAGTCTGGACCAGACAATCCAGTGATCAACAGCATAAGCATCGATCTGCACAATTGTGTCAACCAAGTCAGCGAGCCTGACCACCCGATCCCGTTAGTCGCCTCTTGCGACAAGCATGGGTTACTGAATATCAACATTTTATCTTGGTAGTGATTCATAAACACATACTCATGCTATAGTTGGAACTGTACAATCAGTTCAACTTGTAGCAGAGATTTCTCGAGGAGGTGTAATGGTTTTATCGTTACCAATGTGTTTAGCTCCATGACAAACTACTGTCACAAAGTGAACTAACACGTCTCTAGATCTAGATCTGCACGTATCTAGATCTGCTCTTTTGCAACACATCTGTGTCTGAAATATGTCGGATACTTACTCGCTGCAGTCAAGCACAGAAGAATCACACACGCAATAGCCAACCTCATCGTTCGCAAAACGACAGGACGTCCGACTGAAGCCTGCACAAACAACGTTGTCTTATATCATCGACACTCCCTGCGTGTATTTTGGGTAAATCTGCTTGGCTTTGATTATTAAAAAGGATCATTTATTCATATCTTAGCTCCATGACAGGAGCCATCATTTGTATTAACTGTGATGTGGTTTTGTGGCAATGGGCCAGGTCATGGAAACTGTTTCATCCATGAGTGTACATCATTACTGAAAGAGGCTGAAGGGAGTAAGTGAAGGCTTTCAGCAATATTCCCGAAAAATGAAGGAGGGGGATACCAGAAAGGGGCTTCACACGCCATACCCATCTTGAGAATCGAACCCCGACTTGACGAGCGAACGCTTTAACAACAAGGCTACCCCACCACCCCTAAAGCAGACGTGAAACGTATCAACGTACATAGTTTCGTTAGAATAAATCTAAACGATATGGGCAACTTTTGGGCAACTGCTGTTTGAAGAACAAATCAGGCTTAAAATATAACAGTACAACCAGCATTTGGCGGAAGCTCACATGCAACTGGACGTTACAATTGTTCTGCTGTCAGACGAGTGTCGCCCGGTACCAGACAATGCCTGGAAGCTTGGAGTACTCCAGTCAAAAACTTTGCACCAAGCGAAACAACGAGACATCCATTATCCCTTTTCCTTTTAGTTATTTATTAATTCTCTTTATAAATCGAAAGCGTTTACAGCCATTTGGAAGATTGATTGACTGGTGATAACGGGCTTTATGGATGCCTTCGTCTTTATTATATATACACACTGATTCAGGGCAACCTACTTCTTGCCCCTTCCTTGGGTGAAACGTTTTGAGACGTTCCGCTGGAGTTGAGTTTTTGCGGGTGAGAGAATTTGGCCTAGTCGCCCATAAAGCAGCAATGGCCTTCAACAAAGTGAAAATTGCCTGACGGGACGTGCCTAATACACCGATTTGAACCAAAAGGGTAGAAAAGATATTATTCTGATAGAAAATATAACTGCATTCAAATTGAAAAGGAGCAGCAATGACTTCAGGGGGAGTCAGTGCCAGTGGGGCAAATCTAGACTTTATTTAAAGCTAAAGAATGCGAGAAAGGTGAGTGTGTGAGTGAGTAAGTTTAGTTTTACGCCGCTTTTAGCAATGTTATGGTAATATCACGACAAGGAGACCGGAAATGGGCTTCACACATTGTACCCATGTGGGGTATCAAACTCGGGTCTTCGGCGTGACGAGCGAACGCTTTTACTACTAGGCTACCCACCGCCCCCTCGGTGTAAGGGAAAATATATGGTCAGGAACTGTGAAACAGATTTACCAAAGCTGAATCAGCATTGCGTAGTAAGGGGGTTGGTGGGGACTATTTGGGCTTGTTCAATGCTGCATCCATGTCCTTGACAGGTATATATGCAGTCAGTGTGGTATCACTCCGCTTTTATGACGCCGCCTTTAGCGATATTCTGCCCATACCGCTGCTACCCCAACGCCCCTGAACAAAAGGGAAAGGGTTCAACAGTTGGTGCACTAGTAGTACGTATCTCTAGTCAAGCCTTATCGGGTTGAGGACAGGCCACACTGCTCTGCGCTAAGGGAGATATGTGTGAGGGGTAGCAGTGACCTTGACAATACCAGTGGCTTCTACACGCGACACCTGTGAAGATCCGGGGTAGAATGAACCTTCAGTAACCCATGCTTGTCGTAAGAGGCGACTAACGGGATCGGGTGATCAGGCTCGTTGGCTTGGTTGACACATGTCATTGGTTCTAGATTGCGCAGATCGATGCTCATGCTGTTGATCACTGGATTGTCTGGTCCAGACTCGATTATTTACAGACCGCTGCCATATAGGTGGAATATTGCTGAGTCGCCTTTTTTGGCAAGCATGGGTTGCTGAAGACACGCCGAAGACCCTGGTTCGATTCTCAACATGGATACAATTTGTAAAGCCCATTTTTGGTGCCCCCTCCGTGATATTGCTGGAATATTGCTAAAACCGGCAAAAAACTAAACTCACTCAGTCGCTATTGTTACTTGATGCACATCAGATCCGACCACATCACGGCAGAGGAACACCAGAAACGGGCCTCACACACTGTAGCCATTGGGCAATCACGCTCTGGTCGGGGCGTCAGGATAGTGTCGTGGTTAAGGTGTTTGCTCATCACGCTGAACCACATGGGTACAATGTGTGAAGCCCATTTCTGGTGTCCCCTACCGTGATATTGCTGGAATATTCTAAAAGCGGCGTAAAACCATACTCACTCATTCACTCAAACCCGAGTCTTCATTGTGGCGAAGGCTTTCACCACGAAACTCCCCAAACCGCTTAAGAAGAGTTTGTGTATTGTTGTTTAACACGGCACTCAGCAATATTCCAGCGATATGGAGACGGTATGTAAATAGATCAGACTTCGGAAGAGAAGATGGTAAAGATAGAGACTTGTGGTTCTTTCAATCGAAAAATTGCTCAGCGGTAATTACTTAACACTTATAATTTCGTTTAAATCAAAGTCAATAAAACACGGGATCATCACACCTTTGCTCTCAATCTTAGGGTATATATCCTGTTCATGACGAGGTTTTCTCTCGAGAGTTAACAGTTAACCGGAAATCAGTTCGCCGATGTTGAAGTTAGGTATGCAGCAGTAGAAGAAACTGCCTCCACAGTCGTCCACAGTACGCTTCCCACCACAGAACACGGCGGCGTTTATGCTGTAGCAGATCCCGCCGTTCTTCTGACAGGCACTGTTTAGAACGAAGCAATCTGCAACAGAGGGTGGTATAAATATGTCATTATGTTTATATAATAGAGAGAGTGAGTAAGGATGTTCACCTCATTTAAACAGTTATTAATGCTTTAGAAACCAGGAGAATGAGTAATGGTTTTATGCCGCTTTTAACGCATATTTGGTTGGTTGGTTGATTGTTTAACGCCACACTCAGCAATATTCCAGCTATATGGCAGCGGCCCGTAAATAATCCAGTCTGGGCCAGACAATCCAGTGATCAACAGCATGAACATCGATCTAGGCAATTGGGAAACCATGGCCTGTGACACAGATTTTATGTTATGAGTGGGTTCTTAATTTTAATTTGGGCTGTGAACCAATATTGCACTGCTATTTCTACACAGAAAAGACGACACGTCCTGCGTTGTGACTTCAGTGTTTTCGAACGATCGGGAAGGTCCAAAGTTATATGGGGTTCAAACTGCAAACTAAAAAAGTACACCCGAACACTAAATTTGACTCAAAACCATTATCAGAACGTTCCTGGACTGATGACAGTCGCCAAAACACCGCAGAAGTAAAAAGGTCCAAAACACAACAAAGAAGCCCTCTTGAAACAGAACACTACTTTGTTTAAATGAGTTTATCTAACTATCTATCAAACGTCTGTATATATAGGGAATACTACACGAGGTCTCATTACATACGAATTATACGAAACGGGTGTCCTTCATGTGCCATCTGACCGAGCGAAAGTGAGGTCAGATAACATAGGAAGGTCACGAGTTTCGTTTAATACGTATGTAATGAGACCGAGTGTGGTATTTTATTTATTACCCACGTCTTACATGCATTAAATTGACAAAATAGCGTAGTTTTGTTATGTTTTTTGGTTTCAAACCGAAACCGGTTTCATAAAGAGGTTGCGGAAGAGTTTTGTACTGTAGTACAATATTTGCATGACGTCACACTGTAATGACGTCACTGCCTTGGTAACCGACGTCACGATGCATGTCAGTTGTCATCGCCTCGTACAGCCTCCTACAGTAAACTACTCCGTAGCACCTCGTTTCTTGGTTTCCAGTTGCTTCATTCGGCTAACATCACTGGTGGAAACATTACGTTTATGTTTTTCGACGGATATAATGTCTCAGTTCGACTCACAATTAAACAGCGACACGGCAACGTTCGCAATGTTCACAATCATTTAAGTTGCAGAATGAATGAATTCACGTGTTTGATATGAATGAAAAAATAGTTACGTCAGAATGTGACCTAATTGAGAAGTCATCGGTTATCCAATCACATCGTTAGAATCTCAGATCAAGTCGTTACGACACAGGTCAACGCGATACGATACTCGTGTGACGTACGAGATGAGTATGCAACTATCCATACGTTGACCTCGAGGGTAATAATTTCTTTTATCCATCAGCTTAGGCACGTATGTCATATCACAACATGAAAGCGTGATGTTGCCACTTTTGTAGCCGGAATTATATTTTTAATCAGTGATTTCAAACACATTATCACGTGTCCGCCGGATGCGTATTGTATGTACTACCTTAAATTCGTGGAATACGTGGAACCCCTGAACTGAGCATGTCGTAAGAGGCGACTAACGGGAACGGGTTTTCAGACTCACTGGCTTGGTTAACACGGTCATCGTATCCCAATTTTCGTAGATTTGTGTTTTAAGTACGGCGTTAAACAACAAACAAACAAATAAACAAACCGTCATACGTGGTATTTACTGTGCACAACGGCATCGACAACACATCAGTCTGAGTCTCCCACATGCCTGATACTTACTCGCAGCTGCAAAGTACAATAGAAGCATACACGCAATCGCCAACTTCATGGTTCTCAAAACGACAGGACGTCCGACTAAAACAAGTACAAACAGCCAAGTTTTATATCATTGACACTCCTACGTTTATTACAGGTCAATCGCCATGGCTACAAGGACCCGATACTCATATCTTATCTTCTTGACAAAGGCACAGATTATTTAGGAAATAGAAAAAAATGGCAATCCTGGGAAACATATCAAGAAGCAATACATTTGTCAGGTCAGTATTCACGTTTCTCAATGAGAAAGTATGGCTTTGTGGATATACGGAAGTTTGAGCATCATGCCCGCACGCACGCACGAACGAACGAACGAACTTACCTGAATGGTTTAACGTAAATGTAGCTTTACACACAAAAATGTAACTCATTTACACTAATCCCTAAATTAAGGATTCATTTCCAATTTGTCAGAAAATATTATCTGTTTGTTCCAAGTCTTGAACAGCTACCATAACTTTTATTTTGATTGAAATTTTGAGCATGAAAGGGTGAAGCATACATAAAATATCTTAAATGATCCCGGATAATTCCCAGCTTACTCGCTGTCGGTTTGTTTAAACATCTCAATTCATTTTCTTCATATTATTCACAGGGGCGGTGGGGGTAGCCTAATGGTTAAAGCGTTGGCTCGTCACGCCGAAGCCCCGGGTTCGAATCCCCACATGGGTACACTGTGTGAAGCCCATTTCTGGTGTCCCCCTCCGTGATGTTGCTGGAATATTGCTAAAAGCGGCGTAAAACCAAACTCAGTCAGTCAGTCAGTCATATTTTTCAGCATGAAGTTACATGCACCAATATTTTACTTTACTTTTCCGATAAACCTTCACGGGGGGATCCACAAGCACCACACCCATCCTCGTGGTTTTCACCCAGAGTTACATTCGTCAACGCTCGCACCTTTCCGTAAACTCGCTTGTCCCGGAATAACACAAGTCGGTCACGAATGCGAGAGTTAACAGTTAACCGGAAATCAGCCCGTAAAAGAACAACAAAGCAATGCGACATAATAGATAACTGTGGTCTAAAATTAACTAAGTTTACAAATTAATACTAATGTTTTCATTACAAATGTTTTACAGTGTTATATGTTATTTTTGTATCATATATTGGGGGTGTATGGCGTGCATGAGTTGGAAGTGATGTGGCACCGGAAACTACAAACCAGAAGGACCCAAAGGACAATCACCAAGAATGGCCAGACTTCCTGACACGTGACCGTCCAGCATACCCTCTGTGGTGATATACAGACAACCTTAGTCATCACATTCAGGTCACTGTTTTCACTCCACCTTCATTAGAGTCCATATCGTTAATCCTACTCCTTTGAAGGTTTGTTCAGTAATCATATTCTGTTACCACATTACCTACTGTATAACACAAAATATTTGAGCATTCGTCCGGTGATTTTGAAAAAGCAGCCTTGCGGTTCATGATGAACAAAGAAATGTTTGTCCATGCATAGTTTCATTTAGAAACATTAATACAGTCAATTAAACTGGTCTCTAAACAATTTACTTTTTTTATAATTGTTATTGTTGTTTGTTTTTTTAAAAAAGAACAACATTTTACAGACTTTAAAAAAAATCAACAATAGACATTTCGGTTATAATGGCAAATGGCGGACAGTGATGACATGCATGTACCTCTCTCTGAAGAAATTGCTCATTGTATAGTTCACAATGAAGAAAATGGATGTTCTATCGACAAGTCTACTGAAGAGAATGTTGCAATGATCCCCTGTAACTTTCAAGGACAAAGATCCTAGACTAACATCTTTAGAAAGTGTTTCAATTCAGCTGATTGAAATCAACGACAGTCAACATGGCGTCTCTGACACTCAGGCACGTGACATTGTTATATCACAAAGTACTCTGCCATCAGCAAATGACTATCTTCTAGACAATTTGGACACTGATCTTGCAAACCTTCCTCGTGGAATCTACATTGAAAAGCTTTTGAATTTAACTTGTAAAGCAGAAGAATCCATTAAATGGTACAGACAGACATTGTCATCTAAAGCAATACGCCTACCAAACTGCCCTAATGGACAATTGATCACAAGACAAAAACTCTGATAAAAGCAATAGTTTACTCAGATATGCTAAAGACTGACATACTCTACAATCTTATATCGATGGTGATGATACAAACATTAGTTTACATTAAAAACACGCCAAAACCCAGGCCCAACCAATCGTAGCCCAAGCAGAAGCAATGCCTGCGACTCTCGTTCTATTTTTTAGGGATCAATAAACAGTCGCCCATCGCAAAGACTGAAATCACTGACAAAGACTGTCAAAGACAAAAAGTGTGTGCACTTGAGAAAAACTCCAAGCGTTAAGATGATATAATATACTGAAATAACGTCAATCAAGGAACATAATGAACACATGAGAGTCACCAACATCGCTATGAAACAAGTTGTTGTTGTTGTTGTTGTTGTTGTTGAGCAAATGTCTGAGCTTAAGAATGCCTTTCTAATTAGTAACATAACAGCACACCAACCCTCTATCACCGATACACATCAATCAATCACTCACACAGCAGAAAAGGAAAGAAAGCAACCGCGACTCAACAGTTGTGCAAGACGTCATCGACGTGACTCTTTACGACCACCATGACACGGAATCAATCGCCACATCCCAAAAGTCCCTGAACACAGACTCAGAAATAACCTTTCCTCCAGACTCTTACATTGCCCAGACCAAGCGTCCTAAACGTCAGACCATCAACCGTCGATCAGCCTCAACTGACCTGAACATACAAGTCACAACAGACTCGAATGGTGGTTTAAAACGTACAGTAACAGTCATACTAACATCTACTGCCAGCGTCGACAGTGCTAATGGCAATGAGTGCACCCAACAAGAATCTGAACAAGGTGTTTTTGAAAGGACTGTTCGTACAAGAACCGTCAGATACTACATAGAAGGTATATAGGCCAACTCCACAAGGCAAGCTATCGTAACATTTCTCAACAATCATGATGTAACAGTGTCAGGACTCCGTTTGATCCAGGGAAAACATAACAACAGTAACCAATCAGCCAAGTTAACTGTGAACACCAATCATCACTTATACAGGAAAGTGTTGACCGCCCCGAGGGAGTGTACTGTAGGAGATGGTTAAGTGCCAGACAATGGCAAAGCAAGCCACACAATCACTCGCAGACCAGTATGGAAGAACGTGACTGGTACTAGTCATGCAAATCCCAACTCATTTCATCCATGCACTGTTAAGTCCTCGCTCTCTCAGCCTGATGTATTCTCACAGATCTGATATGCCTGCCAAAACCGAGTCCAATAATGTACATACAGATCTACCAGCTAAGTCGGAAATAGACAGTATTTCACTTCTGAAACACGATCTACATCCACAATGTTAGCATCTACAAGGAAGATGACTTGAATTGTTTCTCAGACCATCTGCCCATCACAGCCAACCTTGTCTTACATCAACTTCCCTCTTGTAACCAAGCCAAACCTCCTACTATTTCTTGGAAACGTTCTGATGACATGATTTTACAATCGTACAGAGACGCCATATCAAAAGAACTTAATAATTCTCCCAAACCAGACTTATGCACTGAAAATGACATAGGACAGGATAACAAGTATAATAATTTCAACTTCGGCGTCGATTTTGCCAGAATCTAAATTCATCCAACATGCTAAACCATTTTGGGCCAAAGGTCTTAAGCATCTACATTCTACATCTACACGCACGAAGGATATGGACGGAGCAAGGACGCCTTAGAGGTCCAGGACATGACTCCTATGTAGCATACAAGCGTCTGAGGAAGACTTTCAGGAGATAACAGCGAGCTGCAATCTCAGTGAATCTCAGTGTCACATCCCGGAACTTTGCTCTCTTATAAGAACTGTTAAAACAAACAAAGCGCCTGGTCACGACTGCATCCAAAATGAAAATTTCATACATAGCAGAGAACAACTTATGTCTCATCAAGCTCATCTATTCAGTGGAATGATACAAGCGTCATATGTGCCCCAAAACTGTAAGATTGGAGTCATAATACCTATCCATAACGGCAACAATAAACCAAAGAACCTTGCAAAAACCTATCGACCAAAAACCTTGTTGCCAGTCATATACAAACTGTTTGAAAAGCTAACCAGCACATCGGATTTCAAAATGGATCATGCACACGAGTACCTCATTTCCAAATCCCCAACAGCAAGGATATTAAACCGAACTTGGATGTACAACAGGATCCTTCAACCTAACAGAGACCATCAGCCACAATGTTGAACTTGGCAGTAAGGTTTATGCTGCATTCATTGACACTGAACAGGCTTTCGATACTGTCTGGCACAATGGGCTGTTCCTGAACTTATCTGATCTTGGAAATAAAGGCAAATCTCTAAGACTGCCACTGTGGCCTCAAAAGCATAGTTGCTGTAAATGGCTGCCGCTCTGCACAGTTTCCAATCCAACAAGGTGTGAGACAGGGCGGTGTTCTATCCACGTTAATGTATCTCGTCTTCATCAATGATCACCTCAATATTCTTCAGGATTCTGGACATGTAATTACCGTTGGAAGCCTTCAGCTTGGTAGCCCAACTCTAACAGATGACGCGGTAGTTCTCACTCACCCCCTCAGGTCTTCAAGCTCTACTTGATATCGTCAGCGACTACACCCTGAAATGGAGGTATGAAGTCAACCCAACAAAGTGCCAAGTCATCGTATCTAGCAGCAAAGCCTTTGAATTACTCCTACAGAATGGGTTCTGGTCGGAAACGCAACTCCAACTGACAAGTGCGTCACTCATCTTGGAACAAACATTTCCTCATACCTCAGCCATACAGAGTCCATAGTACAAAGCTCATTTAGTCGCAAACGTGAAATGAATTCAGTTGTACTATATACATGTTATGTGTGCTGCTTCAACCATCTCTACCTTACCACTATAAGATCATATTTCTCTATCACCCGTGAAGGTCCGGGCTAGAATAACTAACTAACGGGATCGGGTGGTCAGGCTCGATGACTTGGTTGACACATGTCAT